ATATATTAAGAAAATAGTAAAATAGTAGACAACAAAGAAATAGTGTATAAAACTGTTTGTTTCATCAAGTTTTATGTTTCTAAAAAATAGTTTTCAATCTAAATGAAAAATACAGTATTTATAAAGTAAATTTAATTTTTCGGTCAATTTTCTCTAAAAGTATATAGTATAATTTTTATTTTTCTATAGAATTCGATTCAGTAGGATCTAATTTAGATGCCTCTGCAATTTTTTTCCGAATTTGATGATAAAAGTTATGTGCAGATTTCTGCATTATCGACACATGCTAAAATGGTATTTTCACTTTATCACTCGCTAATCGTAATAATAGAATTATTACGAAACAAAGTATCGACTGTTGGTAAAGTAGATTTTTAGATGTTTGATATTTACTTAAACAGAATATTTATTTACCGACTGTAGCAATAGCAGTGAAACAAATTGTCGGTAATTTGGAAATCTAAATTGATATTTTTACCGACTTCGGATAAAAAATAAAAGTGACACTCAAATTATCGAATTACCTTTTCAATAAGTATACAAGTTTTTTATAATAAAAATATATGTTAAAAATTAATATTTGTTAATTTTATAAAAATTTATTTTTTGCTACATAACAATTTTTTTTTGTATAGCAAATATATAATTTTTTTTTTAATTTCGTTTTTTTGTTCATAAATATTAGTAATAAAAATAAATTATTTCTTGAATTATAAATTTTTATAAAATAGTTTTTTAATGGTCAATTTTTTTTGTAACTGAAAATTGCATTGAATAAAATATTTTTTAAATTTATTTTATCCATTACTTTATTATGCTATTGAAAAAATATTAACTTTAATTTGTGTTCCTTGACAATTTTCAGTTATTTTAAATTATTATTTTTTTTTTTTTAATTATGAAAAATATTCTTACCCAGAGCCCCATCGTATCACAGCTAAAATTTCTGTATAATTGAGGAAATTTTGAGCGACCTTTTCGCGAGAGGTGATGATTTTTTTTTATAAAGGTACGAATTTAGGTATGACGTAAAAATTTTTCATTAACGAGAAAATAAAAATAAATGGGAAAAAACAATAAATCATTTATCTTTGAAAATAATTGTCCATTAGAGTTAAAATAAAAAATCATTTTCAATAGAAGGTATAAATAAAAGTTTAAAAAAATAAATTTTTATATTGATAATTGTAAATTAAAATATTAAAATAAATAAATTAATTAAAATCAATTAAAAAATAATAAAAAAAATGTAAGAACAAAAAAAAAACAATAATGAAAAACAATAAAAATTATTTTTATAAAATTATTGATACAATTTGAAAATAAAAAACAGTAAAAAGAGAATAAAAATAATAAAAAATTTTAAAATATTAAGAAAAAAGAAAATTTACATAAAACAATATGAAAATAAAAAATTTGTTTAACTTAAAAGTTCAAAAAAATAATATAAACAATTGAGAAACTTAAGAAATATTCAAAAAATTGAAAAATTTTAAGAAGAAAAATAAAAATTATATAAATTTAATAAATTAAAATAACAATTTTTTAAAGAATTGAAAAATTGAAGAATAAAATAAACATTAAAATATAAAAAATAGATAAAAATATAAGAAGAAGAAAATAATTTGAGATAGAGAGGGGAGGGGGAAGTAGTGTATGTGTGAAATGAGGTCTGAAATGTTATTTCGTAAAAAATGTTGATTTCGATTAACCATTTCTCATATTTTTTGTTTCTCATTTTCACTCAATTTTTGTTTCTTTCGCAAATTTTTCGACTCATATATATTACTTCTCTTCTTTTTTGTAAAAAATCTTATTCTTCATATATAATAAAATTAAATAATTTATTCTTCAAAAATGTTGAATTTTTTTTCTCTCCTGAAATTGAAAAAAAAGTAACTTATGCATTTTCATGCAAGCGGTGCGTTTCGTTCGATATAGAATTCCTCATGCAATTTGGTGCTCGATCTAATATTCAGGTCATTTTTCACCCCACACAGTCATTTCGCGATCTCACGTCAAGACCATTAAAAAAAAACATCAGAAAATATTTATGCCAGTGATTAATATAAAAAAAAAATTTTTTTAAATTTTCTTTTTACATAAACATTATTTAATTTATTTAATTAAAAAGAAAAAAGAATAAATAAATTTTTGTGATAAAAAAAAATTTATTAAAAATTGATTACTTTCATTATTATAAAATTTTTTTCATATTCAAATCAATGAAAAATACAGATTAAAATTAATTTTCAAAATTAAAAAATTATAGTTCAAAAAAGGTGTCGAGTTAGCTCAGTGGTAAGGCAATCGACATTTGGACCATTTGTTCAGGGTTCGAATCTTCCTAAAGGTGGTTTTTTTTCTTTAATTTATTTTTACAATGTTTTTAATTTCGCTTAAAAAAAGTAGCGTTTCTAATAAAAAAAAAATTGCCTCCAAGAAGAATTGAACCCAGAACATAGAATACAAACAGTTAGGATACTTAACCATTGAGCCAATTTAAACTATCAAACTTTGTAAATGAAAATCGTTTTCCTTTCGATTTTTTCAAACAAACAAAAATTTCACCCTCTTTTTTTCATTTCTCCAATCACTCTCTTTTTTTCCAATAAAAAATAAATTTTTCCCAATTAATCAAATTACAAAACGGAAAAAATTGTACATTTTTTCCTCTTTTAAATTACGGTAAGTTTTTTTTCTAAAGCTTATTTTCAAAAAAAATTTCAAACTCATGTGAATTCAAAAATTCACAAGTGTCGAGAGTTTCTGAAAAGTGTTTTAATTGATAATTAAAAAAAAATCGAGAAAAAAAATGTTGAATGAGTTTTTTTATGACCCAGGAGATGAAAGTATGATACGCGGTTTGGATTTCATTCGAATAAAGTTTTTCTTTTTTTTTTCTTTTAATTTTAATTTTAATTTTAATTTTTTTTTGTTAGGAAAAAATGAAGGTAGAATGCGTGCATGTGCAAAGTTGGTGATCTGTGAGTAAATTCCTAAGCTTGCTTCATAACTCTCTCGTGTATGTACAGAGACTGGTGATTATTCCTAACGATTCACAAGATGGTGAACGAAAATAGTGACTGGCAGCAATACGACTCCTCATTTTCAAATTAAAAATATAAGGAAAAAAATTTAAATAATTTTCTCATTTTACTAGTTCATGCAAAAAAAAAAATAATTGTTTAATTAAAACCAAGGAAATTTAAAAGAATAGGGAGAATAAATAAGTTTCAGTAAGAAGATAGTTTTTGAATGTATAGAATTTTTAGAGCCAATATTGTTATTTTTGGTTTAATACTGGTCCAGTACTGGCACAAACTTGGTTTAATATTTTGGACAAACTTGGTCTAATAATGGTACAAACTTGGTTCAATAATGGCTCAAACTTTGTCTATAAATGGCACAAACTTGGTCCAATATTGGTTCAAACTTTGTCCATAAATGGCACAAACTTGGTCCAATATTGGTTCAAACTTTGTCCATAAATGGCACAAACTTGGTACAATAATGGTACAAACTTGGATAAATAATGTCACAAACTTTGTCCAATATTGGCTTAAACTTGGTCCAATCATGGTACAAATTTAGACAAATAATCTCACAAATTTGGTCCAATAATGGCACAAACATTGCTTAATATTGGTTCAAACTTTGTCTATAAATGGCACAAACTTGGTCCAATAGTGGCTCAAACTTGGACAAATAATGGCACAAACTTTGTAGAATACTATTACAAATTTGGTCCAATAATGGCTCAAACTTGGTCCAATAATGGTACAAACTTGGATAAATAATGTCACAAACTTCGTAGAATACTATCACAAACTTGGTCCAATAATGGTACAAACTTGGAAAAATAATGTCACAAAACTTGTCCAATATTGCCTTAAACTTAGTCCAATAATGGCACAAACTTAGACAAATAATCTTACAAACTTGGTCCAATAATGGCACAAATTTAGACAAATAATGTCACAAACTTGGACAAATAATGTCACAAACTTGGTTTAATAATGGCATAACCTTGAACTAATAATGTCAAATTTCAACCACTATTGGCTCAAACTTGGTCTAATAATGACACAAAATTGGACAAATAATGTCACAAACTTGGTCCAATATTGGCTCAAACTTAGTCCAATAATGGTTAGCCGAGTATTCGGCTAACTAGAGTCAATCTAGTTTCAATACGGGCGTGAAATTTTCAACAATTATACACAAGAATGTTTCAAATCTGTTTCTACACTAAAAAGAAAAATTTTAATTTTTAAAGTAAAAGTAATCTTGTACAGAATTATGTAAATTAGTTTTATAAATGTTTAAAATTAATTACTAACCAGGCTATATCCTGGTTCCACCAAGGCATAGTTTTTATTTAGCCTCAGCAATTTCAAGACCTAATAGGCATTAGGAAAATTTTTTGAACCAATATTGTAACAAATTTTTTGTGCCAGCAAATTTAAGCCCAATCCTGGCTTAATACTGGCGAAATTTCTTTTCTTATATCAACTTTTCTATATTTTTATAAACTCAATGCCTATGATAACAAAAATACTTTTATTCAAAACCAGTTCAATATTGGTGAAAAAAAAATCTACAACAATATTGAATTACTATCTTGGGCCAAACTTGGCTCAATATTGACGAACAAAAAAAAAGGCTTGCAATAAAAAAAGAAGCAGAAATAATAAATAAAATAAATAAACACGATAATTTATAAAATTTGGAAAATAAAAAAAGAAAAAAAGGAAGAAGAAGTAAAGAAATTAAGAGGAGAACGTACATAGTGCCAATGGATTTTTTCTACGAGAGGTGAAGTGTTGTCAGAGGGAAGAGGGATTTGTGCGCATCGCTTCTCGCTAAAAGCTATAAAGTTCGCGTGAATTAGCCAATCAGGTGCGTGTTAGTGATAACGGCCGGCCAATCAGCGAGCCAGGGAGCTATTCTCCGAGAGGATGGCTCTCACTTGAGAAAGCTGCGGATACAGAGCTTACCAAGTGGGACTCTGGGCTGGTAAAGGTGACCACGGCGCCTTGTAGTCGCCTTGCATTCACTGTTCCCGATGCCTGCGTTTAATTACAATTCTTATAAATTCAGTCATTTTATTTCATTCTAATAGCGATATTTTCTACTTTTCTACTAATAAGCACTTTTTATTTTGTTTTTTTTAAGGAAAAATTGTATCGCTTTTTTCATAAGTGAAAAACAAAAGACACTTTTTTCATTATAGTATAAAATATAGTATAGAACAGTTGATTATAATGGTTTATAGTACCGTATAGTACATTGTAGTACAATACAGTATAATATAGTTTAGGATAGTATATTTTAGAATAGTTTGGTATAGTTTATTAAACTATAGTATAGTAAAGTTTAGCATAGTATAGTACAGAATAGTACGCCTAGTATAGTATATTTCAGTACAGTTTTGTACAGTAAAGTATAGTTTAGTATAGTACAGTATATTACTTTACTGTATAGTAAAGTAAAGTAAAGTATAGTAAAGTAAAGTAAAGTATAGTACAGTATGGTACAGTTCAGTAAAGTACAGTAAAGTATAGTACAGTAAAGTATAGTACAGTATAGTACAGTATAGTACAGTAAAGTATAGTACAGTACAGAACTGTTCAGTAAATTATTGTACAGTAAAGTATAGTACAGTTCAGTAAAGTATAGTTCAGAATAGTACAGTATAGTACAGTTCAGTAATGTATAGTTCAGAATAGTACAGTATAGTACAGTAAAGTATAGTACAGTAAAGTACAGCTTAGTATAGCATAGCACAGTATAGTACATTATAGTATAGTACATCATAAAATATAATATAATGTAACATAAAATTTTTAAATATCATGTAGCATAATGATATAAATATATATAGAAAAATATGGTCCCGAAATTTTAATAATAGAATATTTGCCGTCAGCTGAAATAAAAACTTAAATTATTGACATATGCATATAAAATATTCAGTCTTCCTGTATTTACTTTTTCTTCTTGAAAAAATCGACAAATTGTATATAAAATTTTAAAATTAAATTATAGATATTGAAAAACAATTTTTAAGTTTGATTTTTAAAAATTAAAAAAGTATTGTGTTTAATTTTTAAAAATTCGAAAACTATTTTATTATTAACTATCAACTATAGATTTTTAGTAAAAAGGTATTATTTTAAACTCACGTTCTTTTGTGGATTGCAAGTGACTATTAGGGCTTGTTTTTTATTGAAAATAATAAAGAACTAAATTTTTTTTCTTGTTTTTTTTCAGAGAAAAAAAATAAATTTCGATTCACCAGAACTTTCCATTGTTTCTATTTTCGATAAAACAGTTTTATGAACTTTTACACAACAACTGTTTCGCTGTAACAATTTTCTTGGACCATTTAAATTAATTTAATGCTAAAAGGAGTGTGACACTAATGGATATTGTAAATTTAGATTTTTTTCTCACTCCAATTTAAAAAAATGAGGTTGTATTTATCATAATTATGTTCAGTCGACTTAAAATGAAAAAAAAAGTCTAACGAAAAATTTTTTAATGTTTGAAAAAGTCTTCAATAAAAATATTAAAAAATTTTTAATTGCGAAATAAAAATGTTAAAAATTAACGATTGTAAAATAAAAAAATTACTGTTTCTTGTTTACTGAAATTTTAAAACAAAAAGATTTTAAACTTGAGAATTGTAAATAAAAGCAAAGGTGTTTTAAAATACAAAATTTGAAAAATAAGAATCAGAATAAAAACAACAATGTTAATTAATCTATAGATAAACAATCAATCAAATTTAAAGAGAGAGAGAGAGAGAACAGGAGTGGGAAATAAACAACAAAAATTAAAATAACATAAAATATTGACTCTCATTGTAAACACATTTAAATTGAAATTAATATTCTTCTAATAACATTTATTGAGTTTTAAATTTAAATCAAATTTACTTTCTTTTTTGTTGTTGTTGTTGTTTTAATGTAAATTGATGATGTATTTTATAAACATCACGTTATACATTGCAAAATTAATGAGAATAAAATTCATTATAAAATGAATTCATCAGAAAAACCAACCAAACTATTAATCAAAGTCATCAATATTAAAAGTTTTAGTATACAATAAAACAAGACATTTAATACCATTTTTGACGTATAGAAGTAATAATTCAAAAATGAAAACTGCATTCAACATTAATTGCATGAGAATAAATATAACGATTAAATGAGCGGGGGTGGCAGTGGGGAGGGGGGATAGTAAGTTCGATATCGAATTATACATGAGAGAATACGTTTCTATTCTCACTCAATATTCGTTTATTATTTCTAAGATCTTTTGCTCTTTCTTATATTTTTAAATATTCAATAACCATTTATGTCACTTTCTTTTAATAAATATTCATTTTTGTTCAACAAAAAATTGTCAATTTAATTTATTTAATTTATTTCAATAAATTTTTAATTACAATTATTTATGAAAATTGTTTAAATAATTAATTTAATTAAAATAATTATTTAATTGATTGAACAAAATATTCCCTTTTAAAAAAAGCAAACATTTAGTTTTTTTGACGCCAGGTACAATGGAATTGCAACAAAATGACGTGACTGTAAATTTTTATTGAATTGCTTCGATACGATGAGAGATTTTACATGTTATTTTTTCTTTTTTTTACTTCACTTTTTATCGAAATCGGGCTCAAGTGGTGCTTGAGTTAATGTCAGTTCATGCCGACAACGATCGAGTGCAAAAAAAAGTTTAATTTACCCTCGAACATAAAACGAGGCGTCCCCGGTCAACGCTCTTTGATTAAGCGATTAGTTTCAGTAAAAAAAAACTCCCGAGGAAAAATGAACAAAAAAAAAAACTTGAGTACCTTTTGTCAAAACTGAGTTCGATATAAAATGTAACGATTTTTAATATTTTAATAGAAAAAAAAAGAATAGACTCTGAATTTTAATAAAAAAAAGAAAAATTGGAAAGTGTAGACAGAATTTTTTTTTTCATTTCATGAAAATAAAGTAATAAAAAATTAAAAATATAAAAAGAAAAATTATTAGTAATAAATGGTAATGAAAATTATTTTGTTAATTAAATTTCAAAATCTGAGAGAATATTCATTTGAAAAAATATGAAATTAATATTGATTGATTAATATTTTACAGTTACCTTTACAACTAATGGTAAATTTATAAAATTTCATTAAAAACTAACGAGACAGTTTTTTTTTAAAATCCAATTTCAAGAGAAAAATTGTAATCTCTCTGGATTTTTTTTTTGAAAGTTTGCCCAATAAAAATGGCTCGCAAGAGAGAATCGACGGTCGAAAGTTTTATAAAATAATAAATGACTGGGATCGGCTCCTTAATTGAAAGTGTCAGCGTCGTTTATTAGGAAAGACGTCGAATTGGCAGTTTGCACGGTAGACGCGTGTCCGGGCATTAAAGTTGTACCATGAATATAGCGCTTAAAAGAGAGAGAGAGAGAGAGAAGATTTCAAGCGATTGAAAATGTAAAACTTCTGCATATCGTTAACGCTGCATAACGTGCGGCAAAACTTTGTACTAATAGATGAGGAGCACGAGCTCACCTTATTGCGAAACTTAATTCATAAAGGCGTTGGTAGATGAGATCCGATGAGAAATGATTCTCAACTTGAACTTAAAACTCACACCATTTTTTTCTCTCCATAATCTTTATATATATACACACATTTTATTACTTTTAACTCGGGGACAAAAATTTTATCCTATACTTTTATATTGTCCTTAACAAGGTTGTAATAATGAGAAGAATTCCTTTTTTTTACAAGAAATGATAATTTTTCTTTTTCTTTTATTAAAACTTATATTTATATATTTTTCTTCAACTTTTACTAACCAAAAATTCTGATAAACTTTTATTTTTCAACAGAATCTATTCGATTTTTAATAAAAAAAAAAAAAAATGTCCGCCATTTTGTATTTTTAAAAACAAACATCATATTCTTATTCAGCGACCCAAAAAACCTCCGTGTAACAAGTTTGAACCGAATTCGTAAGATTTTGAAGAAAATGTCCGCCATATTGGATCCGCCATTTTGAATTTTTAAAAACGGATGTCAGATATGGAACAAGCGTCCTTTAAAACCCCTAAGAAACAAATTTCAATCGAATACGTAAGATTTTTAAAAACTCCGCCATATTGGATCCGCCATTTTGAATTTCAGAAAACGATTTCAATTTACTAGTCAGTGTCTTTTAAGAGGCACAAAGAAAAAAAATTTTTTGAGAAGAAAATTTTCATTTCAGTAAAATTTTCAACAATAAGTTTTGTGACAAAAATTCCAATGAGTGAATTGTTGACAAATTTCGCAAACAATTTAAACATACACACAACCCACATGAATGGAGAATATTCTGCAACTCGTGTCTTAATAAGCAAAACGCTACAATTCATAGTAATCCAATTAAGTAAAGCGCGCGAATTACTTTACGTATTCTCTATTCCTTGTGTAGTTTAGTTTGGTTCCGTGTATTGTTTCACTTTGTATATCTTCATCTAGTTTGAGCGACAGACACAAGTTACTCGCAAGAACAAGCAAACAAATAAAAATTAATTTGGAAAAAATATAGAAATTAAAAGGGAGGTTGCAAATACTAAAAAGAAAAAAAGTGCTTTTTGGGATTTGTGAAAATAATTTTTTTTTTCGAATTAAAAATATTTCGAACAGTTGGCTGGGGACTTCCGTCCAGTAAGACCGCTTTGAGAGAAATGAACGTGTGGTGCGGCGCGTCTGACTTTTATAGCCAGAAGAAAGTGGGTGGAGTCTCCATAGTGGGACCGACAGTCACTGGAGGGGATGCGCATGCAGAGTGAATACGAACACCGACGGGACAACATCATGTGTTACTCAATGAACTACTTGGTGACAGATAAAAAAAAATTCTTAAATATGGTGTTTTTCCTAAAACCATTTTTTCTTCGTGATTCTATAATTATCAACTAAATTAAAATTCCCACAATAGTTATATTTTTCTGTAGTAAAATTACATTCCAAGTAGTAACCCAAGTCCTTTCTTGGGACAATTTTTAATTC